CCGACCCTTAGGTTTTGGTATTTGACGCCAAAGGGGGAGAGGGATCGAGTATGATAGACTTAGGGGGAGCTATTATCTATTACATTTGGATTTTTATGTGTGATACTTATTATGCATTCATGTTTAGTTTCGTGCATTGAACTATATCTATGTGATCGTGATATCTATGTGATAGTGATATTTATGTGATATGTGACATATGTGCTCTCTACTTTGAATTATTTATATGTCATGTCACTTGGTTATGCTCATTTGTTTTGCTTCCGCGTCTTACTCCGATGCAAATGAACTTTATTTATTGTACTCATGCTTATTTCATATCTATTGAGTATATCATGTTGGCTTGGGTCATATAAGCTTGCCTAACTCTTTTATTCTTATTGTCATAAGCTTATATGAACCAAGCATGTTAAAAAACTCAACTCTTTCACATACTCGAGGTGGTATTGTCATCAATCACCAAAAAGGGGGAGATTGAAAGCATCTAGGCCTCTAGTTGGGTTTCGGTGATTAATGACAATACGAGATTACTGTGACTAACGTGTGTTTAGCAGATGCAATTAAGTTAGGTCAGGGTAATGACAATTGATTAGGCAATCATGGTTGTCATGCCCCTATGATGGAAATCATTTCGGTTTTCAAAGGATGGACGACAAGGTTAAGGATGGACTAGTTCTAAGTGTTGTTTGGTGTTGAAGAGACACTTAGAGTAGTTTAGAACTTTATTTTTCCTTTGGCCATACTATTAAGGGGGGTATGGACGGGTAGCTTGACCTAGGTGAGTCTTGTGGGTTAGGTGTGGTGCACACTTGTCAAATCTAGCACTAGGTAGCTTCTAAATAGCCCTTAGATCAATTGGAGCAAACTTCATTCACATATGATTACGAGTTGGAAGTGAATGGAGGGTCAAATGTTGATCGGACGCTGGTTCTGGTGTGACCGGACGCTGGCGCAGAGTCCGGTCAGTTCATTTGATCAAAGTGAAGTCGTCTGGTGCGATCGGACGCTGAAGTTGAAAAGCGATCGGACACTGGGTGCCAGCGCCCGGTCAACTCCAGTAAGGTTCTAGAGTGCGGTTTTCACGATCGGACATGTCCGGTCAGTGCTGACCGGACACCGCTCAGTGTCCGATCACCACTTAACTGCTCGGTTTCAGGGAGAACTGACCGGAGCGTCCGGTCAACTTGACCGAAGCGTCCGATCACCCCGCAGAGAAAATATAACGGTTCGTTTTGAACGAGGTGTATAAATACTTCCTCCATTCATGTGAGGGGGTACTTTTGCTCATTCCAACAGCTGAGAAATACCCTTGAGAGTGCCAAGAAGAGCAAGGTCCTAGTGAGGTGATTGAGATTTGAGAATCCAAAAGAGAGGTCTCATTAGTGAAAGCAAGAGTAGCAAAGTGTACATCCACCCTTCTCATTAGGCTTGTCGTGGTTAAGTGAGAGTTCGTGCTTGTTACTCTTGGTGATCGTCATCACCTAGATGGCTTGGTGGTGATTAGGAGCTTGGTGATCATCCGGCAGAGCTTGTGGATGACCCAACTCAAGTTGTGAGCGGTTGTGGGTGATTCACCGTGACAGAGTGTCAAAGGATCAACCCGTAGAGAGCACTTGATCCTTGCGCGGATCAAGGGAGAGCTACACCCTTGCACGGGTGCTCCAACAAGGACTAGTGGGGGGTGGCGACTCTCCGATACCTCGGCAAAATATCGCCGCGTTCCTCCTTCTCTCTTTACTTCAAGCATTTACTTTGAGCAATTCAATTCTTGTCTTTACATTCATAGAATTGCCATGCTAGAGTAGGATTGGAACATATGTTGCTAAACTTTTGTGCGGTAGAGTAATAGGAACACTTTCTAGGCACAAGAGGTGAAGTGGACTAACCGTAGGGTTTAATTATTGCAAAGAATTTTAGAATTAGCCCAATTCAATCCTCTCTTGGGCATCTTGATCCTTTCACTTCTTTCTCTCTCCCTTTCTCTTTTTTCTATTTCCTGTCCCTATCACCCTCTCCGCCTCCTGCACCATCCCCTTTCTTCTTCCCCTGGCTCTTTCTATTCTTTCTCGTCGGTGCCCCTGCCATGGCTGCGAGTTCAGAGCTCGGAGCTCACCGGTGGCGACGCCTTGTGCCTCCTAGGTTCCGCCTCGCCCCCTCTCCTCGCTCTCGCCGCCCGCCCACGCCCCCGCCACATGTGTCATGCGCAGTCCGCATGATTGCCCCCTCACGACCAGAGGTCGCCCACGCCCCCACAGCCGAAGACACTTGGTAGTCGCGATCGCGCCTAAAGTTGGCTCATGGGCTGCCCGCCGTGAGAGTCGGCAGCCATGGAGGACCCGAGCCGGGGCGTGCGGGCGGGGCTGTGCGTGGACGGCAGCGACCAAGGCGCAAGCATGCTTCGGCTGTGCATGGGGCCACAGGTCGCGGCGGCTACGAGGCATGAGGAGGCTGCGGCGGCGCGTGAGGCAGCAGGGTGCGGGCGGCAACAGGCTGCGGTGGCACGTTGGTCCGTAGGGCGCACCGGCAGCTGGCCGTGATGGCACGAGCGATGGGAGCTCGGCAATGGTGGTCCTGGCACATTGAGGGAAGAGGGGGCAGCGCTAGCACGACAAGTGGGGAGGGGAGCTCAACCAATGGAAGAATAGAAGAGGAGAAGAGGAGGAAGAAGAAGATTACATGTGGGGCCCGCGCATCAGTGAGAGGGAGAGAGGCGGACCCAACTGTGGCTTAGGGGCACCGGATGTCCAAAACAAAATTTTCTCTCTCCTCAACCGGCTGCAACCGGTCCGCGGTGTCCTGTGACCTAATTTCACTGAACCAGAGTATCTTCTGGCAAACTGCTCAAAAAGGGGTGTCCGCCAGCAAACGATCACTTTAGATGTCCAACAGACAATTATCCCTTAGATTAAATGTCAATTTAACATCGGTGTTCAATTTTACAGTATTCTTATCTTATCGTGCGATCTATGTGTTTTTTTATAAAAGTTTAGTTGTCCCGTAGCAACATGTATACTACCTAGTCAAGGAAAAGGAAGGCTATAAAATCTCCACCGAGGCCTTTACTGGACTTAATTACCTTTATTATATTCAGGCCCATTTGTTCTGGTCTGATCCTTTGCTGGTTTGTTGACTCCGAAACCTGAAAATCGAAAAGGACTCTTCGTTGACTGGGCCGTGTTGCGACTTGCGAGAGGCCGATAGTGGCTTAGCAATGGAATGGAATCGATGAATCCCAAAGATGTTCGCCCATCACTGAGTTGCCCAACAGTGACTATCAACATAACATTTTTTTTCCATCCAACTCAATAGTTTCATAACATTTTCCCAATGAGGAAAAAATATTCCATCTCACATAAAAGAGCTCTAGCTTTATGAGAAAAATGTTTTACTTAATAAAATGTTCCTGTTTTCATGTGAAAAATGATCCAGCTTAAATATAAAATGTTCTCGCTTCACTAAAAAAATGCCCCAACTTAAATAAAAAGTTCTAGCTTCATGAGTCATGACTACAATATTCTAGATTAAATAATAAATACGTTAAAATGTTTAATCCAGGCTACTGAAAATGGTGAACTAAATTTCACAAAAGGCTTAATAAAAAAAATGAGTACAATAAGTTGTCATGAAAATAACATGCAAATAGAATAAAAAACGGACACTATAAAAAGGGGATAATGTTGTTTTTTTAATGTCTCAAAACTTTAAATACAAGTTATAGTATATAAACTTATATACAAATTCACACCACACACACACCCCCGCAAATGCAAACCAGCGTTGAGTGGGACTCGAACGCAGGTGGCAGACACTCCATCCGAGCGGCCTTACCAACACGCTACAGGCGTGTTCACAAATGGGGATAATGTTGTTTAAAGAGAATAAAATGGACTAGTACAAATGTACTGTGACAAGGTACCATCTCCACCTGCTCCCTACTCCCAACATACGTAATTAGCCTAATTGACGACAAAAAATAGCTTTGTTTTGGTGATGTGGTCAGGTACTTGGGCAAAGGGTCACGCAATTACCTGTTACGCCTTAGCGTGGCCTCTTTTCTAAATTTCTATAGATTATTTGGCCAAAGTTAGAAAAGTTGCATAACTCTATTGCCAACTTTGAAGTGATGCCGGCGGTGTTTGTCCTGGTTAACGATGAAATGCAGTTTCTTTTTTCACGGATGTGCCTCAGTAAGAGGAGGAAGAAAACGAAATACAGTAGGTACAAAGCTTCCAGGGCTTACGAGTACTAGGTTGTAATTACACACAATCCATTTTGTGACTATCCAAAATCCGACTATCCGCTGGCAAGTCACCACAAAGAGACCAGCGACTGTAGCTTTCTGAACCTAGTAACGATAGAAAGCAGTTGAGAAGCGAAAGTCCACGTAATAAAATATGCTACAAATTTTGTTTATGATGACAAATTATGGTACAAGTTGTTGGTACGAATACGATGGATCAGTGTTTTCGTGCTGAAAGAATGCAACTTATTTTGTAATGCAACTTGCAACAGAAAACACAACTATCCGCTGGCAAGTCACCACAAGAGACCAGCGACTGTAGCTTTCTGAACCTAGTAACGATAGAAAGCAGTTGAGAAGCGAAAGTCCACGTAATAAAATATGCTACAAATTTTGTTTATGATGACAAATTATGGTACAAGTTGTTGGTACGAATACGATGGATCAGTGTTTTCGTGCTGAAAGAATGCAACTTATTTTGTAATGCAACTTGCAACAGAAAACACAACTATCCGCTGGCAAGTCACCACAAGAGACCAGCGACTGTAGCTTTCTGAACCTAGTAACGATAGAAAGCAGTTGAGAAGCGAAAGTCCACGTAATAAAATATGCTACAAATTTTGTTTATGATGATAAATTATGGTACAAGTTGTTGGTACGAATACAATGGATCAGTGTTTTCGTGCTGAAAGAATGCAACTTATTTTGTAATGCAACTTGCAACAGAAAACACAAACGCACACGTGGTAGCTCGACCGGATCACATCGCGGCTGCTTGGCTCGCCGGCCAGGTGATGGCAATGGGGCTCCTGACCTCGTGCTCCCCGTCGCTCCACACGATGGACCCGAACGTGTACTTCTCCGCCACGCTTCCCTGCTCCGGCGCGAAGGTGATGTCGTACTCCTGCGTCTGCTGCGTCGCGCTGAACACGAGGCGGGTGGACATGTCCTTGATGATGTCCCCGGCGTTGTCGACGTTGTACGCGGTGGTCATCAGCGCGGACTTGATCGCGGCGGGGCTCCAGTCCGGGCGCGCCTGCCGGAGCAGCGCGGCGATGCCGCTCACGTGAGGGCACGACATGGAAGTGCCGGAGACGATGACAAACTTCACCCGCCTCGTGTCGCTGTCCAGCTGCGAGGGCGAGTTCTCGCCGGTCCACGCGGCCAGGATGTGGCCTGCTCATGGAGTTCACCAGGCGATCGCGTCAACAATGTTTCATCCTGTGGCTGCGTGGTAAATTGGAGACTGCTCTAGAGTCTTGACGAGTCGTGGCCTTCGTCACACGTCACTTCGTCCCTTCATCCTGATCTAGGATTGGGACTGGGTCTCGAGCCGAGAAGATGATGAACAATGGTGCTGATGGCAGATAGACGAAGGAATAGGAAGTCAAAGTGACAAAGTTTACGTGAAAAAGAATTGGAATCACTGCGGCCACTTTGTCTCTCGAACGAAGTCGTAGCACGTCGCTTTATGAGCCAAAGAAGATAGTTGTTGCTGATAAACAAAATCCACAATTAATATACATACTTATGGTACTTAAGTAAATCTTAGGGCCCTATGATTTTGAGGGCCTTGTTCCGTTGCACAGCCTGCACGGGCCCAGGGACGCCCTTGAGTATAGTAACAATAGAAAGCAGTTTAGAAGCGAAAGTCCAAGTAATAAAATATGCTACAAATTTTCTTTATAACAAATTATATGCTACAAGTTGTTGGTACGATGGATCAGTGCTGAAAGAATGCAACCCCGTTTGGCAGGGCTTCACTTCACTAGTGAAGCTATTTTTTTTTTAGCTTCAGCTCCACGAACAGTTCCACCGGTGGAGCTGAAGCGGTTTTGGTAAACCGTTTGGCAAAATGGCTTCCCTATAAAAGCATGTTTTTAGGGCCCTGGAGGAGGAGCCGGGAGAAGCCACTTTTTTTGGCTCCATCCCACCCCAAATCACTGTGAGAGCATGTTTTTAGGGGCTTCACAAGTGAAGCTATTTTAGGCCCTGTTTGGCAGGGCTTCTCTAGCGGCTTCAGGAGCCGCTTGGAGCTGTTTTCTGCCAAACGGGATAAAATAAAACGGCTCCACCGATGAAGCCCCTAAAAATATGCTCTCACAGAGCTTTGGGTGGGAAGGAGCCAAAAATAGTGGCTTCTCTCGGCTTCACCTCATTCTACATGGCTTTCTCTGAGAGCATATTTTAAGAAAAATTATATGTGAAGCTGTTTTACCAAACGATTTATCAAAATGGCTACAGCTCCACCCATAGAGTTGTTTATGGAGCTGAAGCCTCCAAAAAGAGCTTTATGGGTGAAGTAGAGCCGTGACAAACGGGGCCTTACTTTACCCCGTTTGATAGAAAACGGCTCCAAACGGCTTCGGAAGCCGGTGGAGAAGCCTTACCAAACGGGGCCTTATTTTGTAACGCAACTTGCAACAGAAAAATAAACACAAGCGCACACATGGGTAGCTCGACGTCGACCGGATCACATCGCTGCTGCTTGGCTCGCCAGCCAGATGACGGCAATGGGGCTGGTCACCTTGTGCTCCCCGTCGCTCCACACGATGGACCCGGATGTGTACTTCTCTGTCACGCTTCCCTGCTCCGGCGCGAAGGTGATGGCGTACTCCTGCGTCTGCTCCGTCGCTCTGAACTTCAGCGTCGGAGGCTCCACCGTGACGCGCACGCCGGCCGGGCTGGCGACGCTGGCCGTGTACGTGGCCCTGACGTTGCTCCCGACGTTGCGCACGATGCGGTGCTGCGTGACCTCGTCGCCGCCGGAGCCTAACAATACCGAGAAGGCCGGGTAGTTGAGGTCGCCCACGGAGCCCGAGCGAGTCGAGCAGTCAGTCGTCGAGCCGTCCCTCGTCAGGACGGCGATCTGACTGGCGGTGTAGCCGAGCGCGCACAGGAAAGAGACGTAGTCGTCGGTGCCGGCGTCGTACACCAGGCCTGGGTTGAGGGCGCGGTTGGGGTCCACATGGCCGGCCCCTCGCACGAACGGCGTGGACGCCGTGCCGGTGGACATGTCCTTGATGATGTCCCCGGCGTTGTCGACGTTGTACGCGGTGGTCATCAGCGCGGACTTGATCGAGGCGGGGCTCCAGTCCTGCCGCGCCTGCCGGAGCAGCGCGGCGATGCCGCTCACGTGAGGGCACGACATGGACGTGCCGGAGATAATGTTAAACTTCACCCGCCTCGTGTCGCTGTCGAGCTCCGACGGCGAGTTCTCGCCAGTCCATGCGGCCAGGATGTCCACTCCGGGGGCGGTCACGTCCGGCTTGAGGATCTCCGGCGCGAGGAGGTTTGGACCACGGCTGGAAAAGGATGCCATTCTTGGGGAAGATGGCGTCCCGTCGACGACGGTGCCGATGAACAGGATCGTCGCGACGGGGGACGCGCTGGTTCTGATGTACTTCTTGATCTTCTCGGCAGCGGCGAACGCCACGCCCGTCGCGGGGTGGATGTGCGGGGTGGTGAGGGCCTCCTCGCCGAACGCCTTGGAGCTGACGAGGATCGCTCCAGCTCCTCCGGCAAGCTTTACGGCTTCTCCTTTAGCTGCTCCACCGATCACGCCGGGGTCGCAGACCACGATCTTGCCGGCGACCCTGCGGGCGATCAGCTTGCCAGCTTCACAGACGCTTGAGCCCACGTCGCCTCCATAGACTAGCGGTAGCTTGCTGGGACCGAGCGGCGTGCCGGCATAGAGGGAAGTGCCGGTGAAGGTATCGCCGCTGCCGAGAACGACGTTCGCTGGGAACTGGCGGTTGAGGGTTGACGCGCCCACCGTCAGGATCCATGGCGCGACGTTGACGGCGGTGAAGTCGCCGGGGCCAGAGTTGCCCGCGGAGGCAGAGACGACGATGCCGTTGCGGACGGCGCTGAACGCACCCACGGCCGTGCTGTCGCTGTAAAACGGGGGCGCCTGGCCGACGGCGCCGAGTGAGACGGAGATGACGTTGACCCCGTCCTTGATAGCCTCGTCGAATGCCTTGAGGATATCAGAGGACGCGCACCCCCTTGCCCAGCACGCCTTGTAGGCAGCAATGCGGGCGCGTGGCGCCATTCCAGTGGCTGTACCTTTGCCATAGTCGAAGAAGGCGGCGTTCGCCACGGCAGAGCCTGCTGCCGTGGACGACGTGTGCGTGCCATGGCCGTTGGTGTCGAGCGGCGATCTGGAGTCCGTCTCACCAACCTCCCTGCCGTGCGCGGCCTCGTACCCCAGGCCGAAGAACTTGGCGCCGACGAGCTTGTTGTTGCAGTACGCGGAGGCGTTGAACGCCGACGTCGAGACGCAGCGGCCGCGGAACGTGCTTGGCGGCGGCGGCAGCGACGGGTCCGCGGCAAAGGACGCGCGGTCCTTGGGGTACACGCCGGTGTCGATGAGGCCGATCACGACGTCCGTGGCGCCGCCAGACGCCTGGAGCAGCCCCGACGACTCCGAGAGGCTCAGGAACGAGGGCGTCAGCGTGGTGTGCACCTGCTGCGTCGCGTCGGGCACGACGGCCAGCACGGCGGAGCGCTGCGAGGCGAGGTGCGCGGCCTGCGCCCCCGTCAGACGCGCCGCGAACCCCGTCGCAGCGTGCGCGTACGAGTAGAGCAGCCTCGGCACCGGGCGCGCGACGCGCGCGGGTAGGTTGTCGCGCAGGAAGGAGCGGTACGTGCCCGAGAGCGCGCGGGGGCGGGACAGCCGCGGCGCGTGCGCCGGTGCGACGTGCACAATGTAGGTGGACACACGGTCCTCCGCTTCGGACTCCGTGGCCACCGCCGCGGAGACAGCGACGACGGCGGCGAGCAGGACGCACAGCGCGCTAGCGAGCCTTGCCATCGGTGGGGTGCACCGTGTCCGTAAGAGATGGATGTGTTGGGGACTCGAGGGACGGAGGCGCCACGCCAATAAGTAGGCGAGCTGATCGGACTGCTCATGTGCCGGCTTGTTGTCTGCGCCTCGCGTAGTCGCGGTTGTTGGGGGCAGACCAACACGGCAAATAGGTGCTTGCCATCGAACTCGATGATCCGATCGTCTACTCGTTCTCATTTCTCAATATTGTAAGAGAAAGAACCAGTAATCTTAGCTGTTGGATTACCGAAGTGGCCAATAGGACACTCTATACTTGGCATTGGCACGTTGCGATCAGTGAAGCACGACCTGCGCGCGATGCTTTACAAGGATTATTATGCTTTTCTTATCTGTCTGAAAAAAAAATCTTGAACATTTGCGCTTGTATTTTTAGTCTACTCGGTACATCAATGATCAATCCATGTTTGTGCACTACCTACTGATCTTTAGGGATACCAATGTCATAAGGACAAAGGTAGATAATTCTTTACAAGAAGTCGACCACAAGAAACAATGCAATTCAAACGATTTCAAATTTAATCAAATTTATATTATGATACTAAATAAGTATCATTAGATTAACGCTAATGCTATGGTGAGGGTGTCCGTCCGAACGCCCCATTCCCAGGCCTGGCGCACCGATCGGGCCCAACAAGGCAACGAGCCTGCTCTCCTCCGTCACTACCCAACGACCTTTTCTAAAAAAAGACAGAAATTCCCTATTGGTTGGCGTGCGCCCGTGAGTATAGTAACAATAGAAAGCAGTTTAGAAGCGAAAGTCCAACTAATAAAATATGCTACAAATTTTCTTTATAACAAATTATGCTACAAGTTGTTGGTACGATGGATCAGCGCTGAAAGAATGCAACTTATTTTGTAATGCAACTTGCAACAGAAAAATAAACACAAGCGCACACATAGGTAGCTCGACGTCGACCGGATCACATCGCTGCTGCTTGGCTCGCCAGCCAGATGACGGCAATATATGGAGCTGGTCACCTTGTGCTACCCGTCGCTCCACACGATGGACCCGGATGTGTACTTCTCTGTCACGCTTCCCTGCTCCGGCGCGAAGGTGATGGCGTACTCCTGCGTCTGCTCCGTCGCTCTGAACTTCAGCGTCGGAGGCTCCACCGTGACGCGCACGCCGGCCGGGCTGGCGACGCTGGCCGTGTACGTGGCCCTGACGTTGCTCCCGACGTTGCGCACGATGCGGTGCTGCGTGACCTCGTCGCCGCCGGAGCCTAACAATACCGAGAAAGCCGGGTAGTTGAGGTCGCCCACGGAGCCCAAGCGAGTCGAGCAGTCAGTCGTCGAGCCGTCCCTCGTCAGGACGGCGATCTGACTGGCGGTGTAGCCGAGCGCGCACAGGAAAGAGACGTAGTCGTCGGTGCCGGCGTCGTACACCAGGCCTGGGTTGAGGGCGCCGTTGGGGTCCACATGGCCGACCCCGCGCACATGTTGCAAGTGTTTTCTCTGGATGTTGCATATGTTTCACAGGCCCAGTGTGTTTGTCTGGGATGTTGCATATGTTTCACACACATATGTTGCAAGTGTTTTCTCTACATGTTGCGTATGTATTGCAATAGTTTTCAAGTGTTTCATGTGTTTTTTTAAGTGTTTTATCTGTCTTTAGACGTATGTTGCAAGTGTTGCATCAGAATATTTCAAAAGTAGATCGGGTGTTGTATCTCCATTCTCACCTTCTGCTGTCTAGCCTTGGTGTATCCTCCTCGCATTCTACTGCCTTGCATACTTCTCAGAATGCGGAGGGGGCGCGACGGGCCCGGTGGATGGGGCACGCCACGGGATGGTGCCGCGGACACAAGTGCACGCTCTCCCCTTCTGTTACGCGGCCTTCAGTTCCGCGACACCAGCTTGGCGTCGAATCTTCGAACGCTAGTGCATCCGTTAGATTAATCATAAAAATTTTCATAATAAACCATTTGGATATATAAATATTGGTAATATTTTCTATACTTTTGGTCAAACTTAAAAAATTTTGATTTATCCCAAACCTAGAATTTTATGGGACGAAGGGAGTAATTCTTTAGAGAACGCAATACGCCTTACATCCCATAATCCTTTTGCAAATATAATTATTGATTCACAATAAATGATTAAAGTTTACTATATATGATTTTTTTAACACGTCTTATTTAGATTAATCTAGAGGTATATACAAATAAAAATTCAACATAAGAAGTTTGTCATGACTCGAAAGATGCAAGTCTTTTTTTTAATAATGATTTTTCATTAATCTGGCCTCTATATCCACACGAAAGAGAAAGATACAAGTCTTTATTATATAAATAAAAATGGATTGGATAAGCCAAAGGAATCAGTCTCCATGACGTGTTTAAACTGAGCTCGTATTATTCAGCGAACAAGGACGTCACGAAGGCTCAGTGGTTAGGTGTAAATGGGCCGATCAAATCATATTATGCTCAGCTACGGGATTTATGCACTTTTAACTTAAAACTAACTCAGCTAGGTGTAAATGGTGCGACGCAGCCCTCTTGGCTCTTGCATCACTACGGCCGCCTAACAACATTTTCATTACAGTCACAACACGCAAGGCTCAGGACAGAAGCAAATGCATCCTGGTTGTGGTTGGTTGTTGCTGCACTCTTTGATTTTAAAAGCACTATTAATGGTGGGCCTGACTGAAATGGACCATCGACCAACTTCAAAAGTTGAAACTTGCACGAAGAGTGGGCCCGAAGAAATGTAAAGAAGGATGAAGGAGATGTTTCTCGAGGGAATATAGTCTGTTTAAACTAGTCCGTCAAATATCGACTTGATTTGTTTACTCTTTATTTACTCCGTCAAAAACTATTCAAGCTAGACCAAATAACCCAGATGAAATCTGTCCTTTTCTCCTACTCATACAAGTTGTGTTTCAGGTTCAAATTTAATGGGGAACAGTTGACATGAGCGGGCAATGTCGCCGATGGGCTCGTTGCAGCTCCAGCACTTGCCATTCGTGCGGAGGCAACAGTTTGTTCGCACATCCCCGTTCTTGCATATATATCATCAAGAGGACGTATGTAAGTTGAGAGCGGTTTTGGGTGCGTGGCGCCACGTGAGCATCGAGAGAAATAAAATCGGACTTAAACGATAGTTCAAGAGGTCAATTAGACTTTATAAAAGTAGTAATAGTTTTTCAAAAAAATCCAAGTATTTTTTTATAAATACAATTTCAAATACTAAAATCTAGTTTAATATTAGAAAACTCATTGAAAATTTAGCTCAGAAAAGTATGAATCAATTTCATATTTTCCTAATATCATTTTCATTCTCTTCAGAGTTGGGAACCATAATATAGAGCATGATTCGAGGAACACATGAAGTCCGGCATCCGAGCCCGTCTAAACTGCATGCTTGCTCGATCACGTGCTCTCGATGCGTTCGCAAACCTACCACGGTGACGACAAACAAGAAAACAGTTGCGTCCATCCGGTCGTTGTTGGATAAGTGGTAGACTTCAGTTTAGAGTCTGAGAAGTTGCATGTCGGCTATTGCTGATGGTCCAATGAGTCTGCACATATCATCATCATGATGTCCATGAAGAAGATAATGACGCTATAAAGTTCAATTAAACCACATGGTACATGTTGTTAATACGCAATCAGAGCTTGAATTACATTTTTTTTATTTTGGAATTTCCCGTGCATCCTCGATGGTCAAGCTAGGCATTGGTGTCGAGGAAAAGTTTTTTGCAGTTTGCATGGCGATTCACGTTGCGGTCTGCAAGAATTTGTCTTGGTTTGCATCCTTCATTTCATATTTGGCCCAGTTTCAAATTTTAAGAGACCATATAAGATTCAAATAATTATAAGCAACCAAGGAAAAGTTAGAGCATGATGTTAGAAAAAAATGAAATTGGTTTCATATTTTTTGAGTTAAGACAAAATTTCTACTATGAACTCATTTTTTTGTATTTTTAAATATATGTTTGTTCTAGAAAAATATTGGAATAATTTTTAAATTATTTATACATATTTTATAAAGTTTTGATTGACCTTCTTGAATTGTCGTAAAAGTTCGTTTTACCTTTCTCATTGCTATCATTACGTCACGTTAGCCAAAACCGCTTTGAAATATCACCCTTTATTCTTTTTTAAGTATACCTCTCGAGAAAAAAAGAATAGGACAAACGATATGGATTACAACAGAATCTTTATTTATTCTTTTCTTTCTTTATCTTTATTCATACATAATTTCTCGTGAACTAATGCCCAATTCTTTTCATTTATTAATTGCTATAACAAGTGATTTATTTTCATACCTGGCCTGGTTGGTTCTTTAGTCCAATGACTAAAGACTAAAACATGGACTAAACTTTAGTTCATAACCCTGTTTGTTTAAAAGACTAAAGACCTAAACCTACTGGACAATGACAAAAATACCCTTCTTATCTTCTTCTTACCCTCTCCCACCAAGACCCCGTGGATCTCGCAGCGTTGGATCTCTTGAGTCCACGGCGCCATGCCGCCATGTTGTCCTCCACCTCCTCCGCGGCATCGTCCTCGTCGAAGCAGAACAAGGCGGTCTGGTCCCCGTCGCCCTCCCTGCCGCAGCCGCCCAAGAAGCGCCCCGCCGCCGAGTACAACGCATCCAGCTTGGGCCGGCCGAAGACCCTCGTCGCGACCTTGCCGGTGTCGACACCAAGCTCCTCCGTCACGCGCCGCGTGACCCCAAGCTCGGCGGGAGTGGCGCTCGCGGGCCACGTCACCCACCAGGCTGGCCGTCTTGCCCCGGATCTCGCACTCCGCGAGCACGGCGGCGCTGAGCCCGTCCACCACGCTGCCGGGCGGGGCTCCAGCTTCCCCTCCACGGGCTCGTCCGCGGCGAGGCGGCCCCGGTACGACCCGCTCCGGACCGCGTCCAGGACCATCACCTCCTCCGTCTAGAGCCTCGAGACGAGGGCCCTGGTGGCAGTGCGCGCGTGGTGGGCGGGGGACGGCGCGTGCGAGTGCAGGGGCTGCTCGGCGACGGAGAGACGAGGAGCGCGAGGGAGGTGGGGACCGACAATAATCGAGGGGGCCTCGAGGGACCGTAGCCTAAACCCACTTTAATCACTTGGTTAGTAAATTAGGGACTAATAGGGATTAAAATGAGAAACTACCGAGTAGTGCATGGACCAAATAGACCCTAAGATATTACCGAACAAAAAAATATATTATATAAAGGATAAGATCAATTCCAATCAATTAAATCAATAATTCGAGCAGCCCAAATATTCTGTCTTCTCCGGTTAAATCGAACTCCCGTGTAGAAAGGATGAGGGCTTTTTCTTAATCCTAATACTGCCTCGGTTTTCTAAATTATAAATTGTTTAAATTTTTTTTAGAATAAAACATCTCAAGTTTGATTAAAATTATAGAGAGAAATTCAAAGATTTATAATATCAAATAGGTATACTATGAAAATATAATTGATAAAAAATCTAATAATTTTTAGTTAGTATTATAAATGTTATTATCTTATATTATATAAATTTGATCAAACCTGACATACTTTGATTATCCAAAGTTCTTAAAGTAACTTATAATTTTGATGAACGGGAGTAAAAAATTAAAAACAGGACTATAACTGGAGTACTCCGTGTGAGAATTGAGTGGGCGGTCCTGGGCCTCACTCGGGCCTGGAGAGGGACTGATGAGTGATGACTGGCAGTGCTGCAGCGCAGGCTTCTGACCGGTGACCGACTGACCTGACTGCGGCCCAGCGTCACGCTACGTCATCACCCCCTTCTCTCTCCCATGGGCCACCGCGCAGAGTCGTCGACGAGGTCGCCGCAGCTCTAGCGCAAGCGTACGGCGGCGCCTACATGCGTCGCCCCGCCCCCCCATCCTCTGCGACACCTGCGGCTCCGGCGACGACGAGCTGCTCCGCGACCGATGCGATCGCGGCCGCCACACCTTGTGCCTCCGCCCCGTCGCCGCCGTGTGCCCCATCGGCCCTTGTTTCTGTCTCACCTGCGCCCCGCCCACCAAGACCCCCAAGAGGCCAATAGTGCGTCCGTCCAGCCCTCCTTGTCGCCTCCATCTCGCCATTTGCCTCTCCCCTCGCTCCTTTCTTTACCTTGGCTTCTTCCAATCTTGCTTCCCTTTGCTTTTTTCTGCTATATATCTCACCGGTTTTCATGCTTTCCTTTTCTTTCCTTTCGGGGGTCTCTTAGGGTTCCCGATGAAGCAGGTCAAGATCGTCGATTTCTTCCGGATCCAGAAGGATGCCCAGCTGGCCGCCAAATGCAGGCTCTCGCAAGGTAATTCCTTGCACTTGCTGACCTGCGTGCACCATTGCATTGCATTATTTAATGTTGTATGAAATACGAGGCCTTTTCTCCTCATTGCTTGCTTTGCTATTGTTGAATTCGTTTTGGTCATAAATTACTTTTTTAATTCTTGTTGGTTATCTTCCACCTAGTAAAATTTCTTTCTCTGTCATTGTGATCTGCACACCTTCGATGCATCTGTCAAGAACTACGCTAACAAAGGTTCCTGTTAGTATGTCATCCATGTCTTTTCTGGGTGCTGTATGTTTGACTGTGCAATTGTATGGACTGCATGGCTTGCTGATTTTTGCAGCATTGCCTGCAAATATGCTCCTATGAATTGGAAACTCTAGGCAACAAAGAATAAGTTAAAATGTGACAGACTTTCTTATGTCATTACTCATTACGGGAAATACGCGGGAAAGCATTACCGGACAAACATTTAATCTGGGTTAGTTTTGCATGCCTTTTAAGTAATATAATGACTAACGACAAATTGCGGTTCAAATAAATCATGTGTTTCACTTCTAGATCATTTATGGTTGTATGGATTGACTTATTTCTGGTTTTGGTATATATGTTGGCCCGCTTGACTACCTTGTCTGGGTTTATTTAGTCATAAACGTAGTTCCTGCTTTTCGCCTTTCTGTAGCAAATCCATATTTGTGCAGGTTCTGTTGCTGATTTCTGGATGTATTACAGGCTTGTGTTCCATTTGTTTATTTGTTTGTTTTTATGGGCGTGTTTCATGTTCGATACACCTGCTAAGAGCTAGCAGTAGGGACAGTCGCATCTTTTTGGCTCTTGATTGTGCAATTGTACTGACTGTAATCTGTATAGCTTGCCGATCATTGCAGCATTGCCTGTGAATCTGTCTTGTGAATTGGAAATCCTAGGGGGGTACACTAAAATGAGATATACTCGCTTACATCATGACTAGTAATAGGAGGGAAAATAGTACCAGGCATAATTTAATATTTCATGCTTTTTTAAGTAGTTATGGCAAGTTGAGGTTCAAACAGATCATGTGAACTTTCTAGATCTTTTATGGTTGTACGGATTGACTTATTTCTAGCTCGCTATATCTGTAACCTCTTGTTTAACTTTTCTGGATTCATTTAGCCATAAAAATAGTTTCCACCTTTGGCCTTATCGTAATTAGTACAGGCTCCAGTGAGGTGTGTTCTATTTATTTATGTATTTATTTTGGGTCGTTCAGTTGCTGTAGTTTCTACATGTTTGATGCACCTGCTAATAACTAGTAGTAGCGAATTGTCCTTTTATTTTTTTTGGAAGTATGGAAAAAGCTTTATCGTAGATTTTATTAGAAGAAGAAAAAACAAAGGCAAGTGCCGACCAACTTTTTAGTGGAAACTGGGCCAAAAACAAACATGATACAACTTTAAAACAACGACTTAAACCACCTAACAAACTCCATGCCACCCCACCCTTAGGCTACAAAAGGTCAACTTGGTCTAAACTCTAAACACGAAACAACCAACAACTTGACTAAACTACTCACTACACTAACAATATGCACAAACAACATACCAGGAATACAACATAGGAAAATATCAAACAACACCCAACAAGTCAAAGAAAATAAAAAGAACACAACCACCCAATGGAACATCGTTCCTGAGTTCGTCACACAAAAGTAAGCAGCTCCAACATCCGCTGTGTTGTCAGCATGTGTATAAGTGTGTTGCCGCAGGGAGTTATGGACTAACTTATGGTATGATGTATGGACCATGGATGATGGTGTTTGCTGTTTGGTGTAGGGTATGGGCGTATAGCTTTGAATCCTTGATGTCAGCACTTGTTAATACTTTTTGTTTACTTTAACGCTTGTGAATGGGTTATTTTTTTGCATCATTACTATTCCTGTAAGTTATGGAGAGGTTTGTTTATTGTCTAGCTCGCGAGCTAGCTCGAGCTCACAAACGAGTCAAGCCGAGTAGGCCTTCTGTCTTGTTATGGTAATGAGCCGAGCCAAGCTGGCTCGTTATCTAAACGAGCCACAACGAGTCAAGTCAAGTCGAGCCGAGCTGGCTCGTTATCTAGCCCTACCTATCATCGACATAAAGAAGAAGAGTGCGGCCACGAGATGAAGTATGAATAAACAAGGCGGGGCCATGAGCACTCGGAGAAAAACCACCAGCATTGATCACATAGGCAATGTGCTGAAACCAAGCACGAGGAGCTTGTTTCAGACCATAAAGAGAGCATCGAAGATGACAAACCATGCCATCAGGAACAAGATACCCAGGAGGTGGTCGCATGTAGACCTCATGGAGTTTACCATTAAGAAAGGCATTTTTGACATCAAGTTGAGAAATGGACCAAGCACGAATATAGGCCACAACAAGGAGAGTGTGAACAGTGGTCATGTGAGCCACAAGAGCAAAGGTCTTGTCATAGTCATGACCATGCTCCTGCTAAAAACCACGAGCAACAAGACAGGCCTTATAACGCTCGAGAGAGCCATCAGAGCGAGTCTTAATCTTAGAAACCCAATTGCACGTGATGGGACGAGCATGAGAAGGGAGAGGAACAAGATCCCAAGTGGCATTGCGCTCAAGAGCAGCGATCTCCTTCACCATGGCATGTTGTCACTCTGGATTACAAATGGCATCACGGTATGTGGTCGGCTCAGAAAGAACGGTGCTAGCAAAACCATATCGATCTGCAGGCTTCAGCGACCCCAATCACAAAGATCACAACGAGAGGATGGCTGAGAGGGAAAATGCTCAACCGAAGATGTCTCAATAGAGCAAGAGACGACTCAACAGGAGGTGAGGGATCTTGGAGGCGGTGATTGTAGGTGTGAATCATAAGAGGTTTGGAATCATAAATGGACTGTAACACCCCGGTGTTATGCCTGCATTTAGGCACTGCAAATCACGCATATCATGCATCATCAAGCATCCTAATCATGCATGCGTAATCTTGCATATAACAACTGAAACATTACTTCGAAACATACGAAACATGTTTGTGAAAAGTAAATGATGCATACACTTATTAGAGTTGTTTTGCTCTGATTCTTGCTTGCTAGGTTAGTAGAACTTGTTTGGTTATGATTGTAAATCATCTAAAATTGTTTAGCACAATTTTTGGAGCAAGGTTTGTATTTGAATTATTGCCAAATTTTTCTTTAAAAATAATTCTCAAAAATTAGGGTTTTGAGTTAAAAATTTAACTTTGATTGTATAATTTAAAATCTAGATAGAATTGGACTTTGGTCATAAAAGCAAAGTTGTAGAGAATTAAATTCTAAACAACTTTCATTTTTGGTACATTTTCAAAAGAGGTCATTTTCTTGCTCAAAATAATATTTGAAAACTGTTAATTGAAAATTTATTGAAAATGGAAATTGAAAAGAATGTTTTCTGTTTTAGCGGGCCGCCGCCGCTGCCCACAGCCCGCCCCAAGCCAGCCCGGCCTGCCTCTGCCCTGCGCCCGCCGCCAGCTCACTCGCCTCGCGCTTGGCCCACTCTCGCTTCACTTGCCCAGCCCACGCCCGCGCGCTTTTCGCCCGCGCCACACCCGCCTTCACCGCCGCTTTGCGCACCTTGCGCATCAGACACCGCCGGCGTAGGGGTGGTGCGCCCGAC